TGTTTTTTATTCCTAGGACTGCTGTAACAGATTACCACAAATTAGTGTCTTAAAACAACAGAAATTTATTCTCTCTCAATTTTAGAGGCCAGAAGTTGGAAGTCAAGGTGTGTCGACAGGACTGTGCTCCCTCTGGACTGCCTAGGAGAGCATCTCTCCCTGCCTCCTCCAACTTCTGGTGCTTGCCGTGTTCTTGGCCTTGTGTCTGTATCACTGCAATTTTTGTGTCCTCACATTGCTGTCTCTCCCTCTGTCTGTCTTAAATCTCCCTCTACCACCTTCTTCCATAGACACCACCAGCCCAGACACTCTCCCCATTCAACATCATTAACTTAATTATGTCTGCAACCTTTTTGCTGTAATATACAGAAACATCCACAGGTCCCAGGAATTAGGACCTGGACATCTTTTGGGGTCCATTGTAGCATACCACAGCCGGTTATAACCTCAGTGCATGTAATTCACATGGGCTGCTCTGGCCCATTAAGTTTGGGTACTTTTCTCCACTTATCCCTGACTACCAATTCATGGCCACAGGGAAATGGCAGCCTGCCATAACACTGTTTACCCACAGACCTCACTGTCTTGGAGCTAGGTCAGATAACTTCTCATATAGCTAGAGATAAATTATTTTGCTGAACTACAGGCTGCACCTCCAGTTTCAGCCGATCATATGCCAAATAACTTTTGGTCATAAGTGGACTGAGAGTATAGAGTCAGTGCAGCAAACCCATCATCCTCACTGACAAAGGTATTTCAAGCGTGTGTGATAGCAACAGTGGCTCTTGTTTAAAGCTCATCTTTTAAGAATGGAATACGACTGTGACCAGCATTGTTTGAATCTATTCTGAGAAAGGCATAAGGCTTGTTACCTTTCCACACGGGCCTTGACTTGAGCCAGGCTTACGGTACCGTAAAGTTTGGTCTTAGGAGGAGAGAATGTAGTTTGTTGTACAGCAAAGAATGTACAGAGTTTGTGAAAACTACATACAGGACCTTGAGAGAATTTAATTGACATCAGGCTCCATTTTTTTCATGAAAGGAAGAATTTGTTTCATGATCTCTAAGGCTCTTTCAGCTCTGAAATTTCATTCTCTTGTTTCTTGAATGGAAATTAGAGAGTTTTGACAGTTTGTCCTGGAAACATTATTGCTAAGAGACTTGTTCTTGTGCCATTAGTAGGCAGGTACGAGAGTGGTTGTAAATATAACTTTAACCTGGAGCTTCCTTGATTGTGTGGTGGGAACATAAAAATATTTTGGAAGAAACAACTGATAGAAAAATTCTGACAGTCCTAGGATTCAGGTGAGTATGTTTTATGTTACCATAAACTACCCATCCTTGGATTTATGTATAGTGTTTCTGCACTCAAAGAATTAAATATTTTATACCAATGCAGGTTACTAAGATTGGGAGTGCACTTTGAGTATTAGGTCTTCATGCCCTGGTTCCTCCTCACTGTTTGTGATGCTCTGGGAATATCCAAGTGCAGCTGACATATGGATCTGAAGTTCACTCACCTTTAAGGGATAAGAGGAGGAAGATATGAGTAATAAGGATTATCCAAGTAGACAGTAGAAACTTCAGGACACTATGTATTGTGTCGCAGAAAACAAGGAAGAAAATATTTGAGAGTATTCAGTGCTGCTGAAAGGTGAGGAGATGCAGGGACACTAAAAGGTGGCCTTAAATTTAGCATGAAGCTGATGAATTTATTGTGATCAGTTTTAATGAAGGAACAGAAATGAAAGCTAGATGGCCTGAGTTGAAGAGACTAAGTGGAGATAAGAATCATGTAAACCTCTCAGAAACTTGGCTGAAAAAGGAGGAGGAGCAGAGGGTCGTAACTAAGTAGTGAGGTGGTGTTGGGAGAGACTTGCACGTGTTTGAAAGCTGATAGAGAGGAACCCATAAAGGAGGAGATGTTACCTCAGAAAGGCAAGTATCAGGACCAGTGCTAGAGGCTTAGCCTTGCAGAGATGGGACACCCCTTCCCTTTCCATCAGAAGGGAGGAAAGAATAGATGCCAGTGCAGATACATTTTAGGGAAGATGGCAAAAAGTTAAAGGAGGCTCGTGAATGAAAGCTCTGCCGAAGTTTGAGACAATGAATGCTCAGTAGCATTAATTTGTGCTATTGTTTGATTTTCTTTGTTGGGCTGAATTAGTCAGGTACAGGTAGGGGAGACAGTGAAGCTCAGGAGGTTTACACCAGCGGCTAGGTCAGCGCTACCTCCTCTTTAAAAGATATCCCAGTCTCCTTGACTTTAGGCATGGGCCCAGTCATAGACCCTTATCTCCTAGCTGTGTGGATTAGTCCATCGGCAGGATACCACATCAACTGGAATCGTTTCAAACTGGAGCTGGGAGAAAGAACTGTTTGTTTCCTCTTGTTGAGAGACACAAAGATGTAAATGGGTGTTGCTTGTTGTGGACATGTTTCCTGTGTGGTAAAGAAACAAGGAGTAGAGATGTTTGGGTGGAAAGAGGAGAAGAATTGAGAGGAGAGGAGGAAGAGTTGTAAATTCCTGTGTCCCTGAGGCCAGTTCCATCCATATCATTTTATTATTTGGCTACATAAACTATTAGGTCCCCCTTACCCTTAACGTAGTTAGAGTTTGTGTTTGTATTTGAAACTACGGAAACTTTAACTAATATATGGGATACAAATTTGGAAAGGTCAGAGTAGGATTGGTCAAGAGTTACAGTGTTTCTGCTCAGGGACAACAGAAAGGCAGTGGGACAAAGAAGTACCACTGGATGAGGTCGCAGAGTGCGGGGTCCAGGCTACACAGGAAAGGAAGTGATGACTGTTGGGCTAGAGATAAAGAGGAGTCAAGGAATTCAGTTCTCAGCTAAGCTAAGAAGATCTGTGATGAGGGTGTATGAGCATTGGATGCATCTGCAAAGCAAATTTCCCTTTTTTAAAAAACATACTAGATCATAAAGCTCTAAAAAGATTCAGGAAAATCCCGTTGTAATTTTGTGATGGAAAAAGATAAGGATAATATCCACTTTTTAAATTTGTTGTGTTGTGTTATATACATAAGGAGAAGACTTGACCTACAAGATGCAAATTTGTTGAATATTCCGAGATACTTTATAATAGATTTTTGTTGTACAGTATGCAGCTGGTTGAGTAACAGGAATTGACCAATTTGGAACTCAGTATCTCTTTAAGCAAAATGTCCTCATGGGCAAAAAATTTGTTCTGGAACAGAACTTAATGTATTAGAAAATTGTTAGATGCTTTGATATTGTTTTCAATGATCTACCTTTAAGAACAGATCTTTTTTTGTCTTTCGCACATCGTTAAGTTACTCTGGGTTGTATTGAGTATGATCGTATTTAAGAACCTTCAATGATCTGTCTCTTCTCTGTTGGATTTTCTCAGCCCACTGTTACTTGTGGGTTCAAAATGGCTCACACAAGTAATAGAATACGTTTAAAAAACGTTAATCCATCAAAAATCTCCTGAGGCTTGGGTTGGACTTTGGCTTTCTCTGCACTTCTCTAAGTGCAGCTCGTGAGATATTAGCTATATGATAGGTTATTGTAGTTCTCCAGTAAATTTGAGTTCCTCAGAAAAGAATATTTAATTTATAGCATGGTCTTTGTGCTTCGATTACCCCTTATTTTAATTTGATGTTCTATCATTTTTGTATTTGAGGATGTGTTTTACCATGTCCTGATAGTGATAAAATGTGTCCTGATTTTTATTAGCTCCCATAATTATCCAATAGTTAAATTTACTGTTGTAGCCCCGGTGAAGAACTCCCACAGAGTCTGTCAGCATGCTGGCTAATGATACATGTATAGAGTCTTAAACAGTGTAAAATCTGTAACCTAAGTATATTTGTACTGAATCTGGAAGTGTTTTGCTGAAAGGGGGATTCACCACTGGTGCGCAGTCTGTGCGCGCACGCACGCGAACTGTCTCTTACACTTGGACGAGATGCTAGACTGCAGAAGGTAGAAGTACTAGGCAGTGCTACCTCTGCTCTGCCGTGCCACCTGGAGAACTTTCTGAACGTGCCATTTCCTCATTTGAAAGATGAGGGGTTGGATGGCACCTGATCTCCCTATTTCCCATCTCAAAGTATTTGAAATCTTTGCCAAGTCTAATAGTCCAAGTCCTTCTTGGAAGAAAAATGTTCCAACTTCAGCATAATGTTACTATGCGCATAGTTATCCTTTTCTTCAATATGATTTACTGTTGCTTTTGTGTTTTCTTTATAACATCTTACTTAAAATTAAGAAAGCAGAGATGTGGAGTAGCATCTTCTTGGGTAGTTGTCATAGAACAGCTTGATTACACGGAGCTTGTGTGTCATGCCAGACCTGGGAGGATCAGCGAGGCAGTCTTCTGATGACTTGCCTGTGTCATTATTGCCACCAAAGCTCTGAAGCAGCTTTCTGTCTCCCTCCACCACCTCACACACACCAGTGTTGCACTCACTAACTGAGAAGCAGGAGTATGAAGTTAGACCGATAAAAGCTGCTTAAGTCATTGGTATAGAAACTCTGAAATTGTTCTAAGATGGTTTTCTATAATCTAGCTTCAGCCCACCTTCCATGTGTCTTGCTCATTAAGTTATAATGAAAACAGTTGTATTTATTGTTGAAATGATGAATGAAATTAGTGAAAAGATATGAGTGCGGCAATATCCAAACTAGTGAAACTACAAGACCGTATTTTGAATAAATCATCTAATTTTAATCATATCCTAATATTTTACTATGGTCAAAGGTAATACAGTGTTGTATGTCTTATTATAAAACACGTTTCTTACTTTGTGAAAAATCTCTGTTTCACAACACATTGTTCACTTGCCTCCCCTGTGTGTTCCTCATCTCTGCGTAGCCAACAGGATGACCAAGCCTGGGGCCTGGAGCTTGCTTTCCTGAATCACTCAAGCCTTTTGGCTTTGGTAATTTGCTGAATTCAAAATGTTGAACAGAATGAGAAGAATAATTCCGTCTTGTTTTCTTCCTTTACAGGCTCTGTACAACTCAATCAAGAATGAGAAGCTTGAATGGGCAGTGTAAGTATGCTGGATGTCAGCCTTTTGATAAATGAACTACTTGCTCTTTTCCTACTCTTTTTCTTTATGCCTTGGAGCTGATCCTAAAGGATTAAATATGCATGGCCAGTTCTCATTTTACCCAATGTCTTACCTACTTTGTGTAAAACCTAAGTAAACCCTGAGTATCCTGTGTCTTTTTCTTGGTACCCAGCATGTTCCTATTCTGCTTTTTTTTTTCTTTTTTGAGGAAGATTAGCCCTGAGCTAACTACTGCCAGTCCTTCTCTTTTTGCTGAGGAAGATTGGCCCTGAGCTAACATCCATACCCATCTTCCTTACTTTATACGTGGGATGCCCACCACAGCATGGCTTTTGCCAAGCAGTGCCATGTCTGCACCCGGGATGCAAGCCGCAGAACCGTGGGACCACCAAGAAGCGGAACGTGTGAACTTTACCGCTGTGCCACCGGGTGGGCCCCCCTATTCTGCTTTTAATCTGGTTGCTATGCCTGTAGCCAATTAACTGTCTTTTTAATGTATCCATTTAAAAATAGCATTCTAAAAGAGAATCTAAAAGAAAACTCACATTCCAAATGCCAATACAAATGATTTTGATGCCATCCACTTATTTTAATTCTCTCCTTCCTGTCATCATAGATCAAGGCTTTTCAATTCTATTTCCTACGACACTAATTATACTAGAATATTGATAGATAAGCTTCAGAAATGATGGATTAAATAAAACTAAAAAAATTTTTACTGCAAAACTTCCACGAGCTTATATAACACCAACGTATATTGTCAATCTCCAAGAGAGGAATAGAATTTGCAGTGTTTCCTAAGCCTGTTTGACAGTAAAATGTAGTGTTTCAAAGTACGTACTTTGAGAGATATTATTACAGATAAATTACACCTAACTCTAAGTAGGTCAACAATACCACTCGTTAAATGTCCACTAATCAGTGTAGCAGTTAAGAATTTAATTTGTTAAGGAAGAATCTTTACTAAGAATTCAATCAAGTTGTCAGGAAATTAGGTCAAAATAATAGAACTACATGTGAAATTTATTTTTGATTTTTGCTGATATTAAGCATTCATAAATATTTTTCTGCCATATGACCCAACATGGCAGCCAGCAGTGAACTTAGGTTTACAGAATCCTAACTTGGGAGATAGATCTATTCCTTCTTATGCACATTGGAGAAAAGTGGCTTAGCAGCTGACTGCATCTCACACATATTATGCCAGAATGAATAAGAAATATCAATACCATTTTAATTGTTTCCGCTAATTGTAAGGCCATACATATGATACTGATTTAAATTAGAGATTCACAGTTTAAGTTGAGACTGTAATATTTGCAAGTGTTATGTGATGGTTTATGTGTCTGTGTGTATGTACAACGTGAGACTCACTTATAGACAATCTACCGTTTCAAGGAAAACACATTAAGATCAATATGAATGTACAGTTGAAGATCCAAAGTGATCATTTTTGGACTTATCTCTCATGAATGAAAGTGAGTTTTCTAGAAAAATTTCATAAGTGATATACTTAGAATCATGCTGAAATATTAAAGGCATATCCTAACCTATGGAGAATATCTGCTCTAGAGAAAATTAATAAAAATGAAATAATTATACATGTATTCACATTAGGGGAAAGAATGTTTTGAAGATTCTTTTATAAAGTTATTTTGAACAGCGACTAAATACACTCCTGAGAATCTGTTTTGCAAATGTGGTTTTAATGTGTTGAATTTGTTACAGTAGGTTTTATTTATATTTATGTGTAGTGGCAATTTGGTGCAAGAAAACTTTATCTTGGGCCCTATCCATGGGTGGAGTGGGTGGGAGTTTCCCCCAAGAACTGGATTCCACCGTGGCTCTCTTGTCAAGTCAACAGAGCATTGTGTTGAGGTGCTCAGATTTCAGAGGCAGATAGATTTGGGTTTGAATTCCTGCTCTGACATGTACTAACTGGGTCACTGACCATGTTAACCTCTAGGCCTCAGTTTCCTCTTATGTATGATGGCCAATTATTGAGCTTCATATTGCCCTCAGGATCACCTGTGAAATGTTCTAAAACACTCAGCATAAAGCGAGTTATCCCTCAAATGGTAACTCATATTGAAGCTCATAAAGCTCTCATTTCTATCTTGTCACTTTTCCTTTTATTTCTCTTGTTCATATGTTTTTATATTCACATTTATTTATCACCTTACCAAATAAGGCACTACAATAGTTTATCATATAATTAACTTGTTTTACCTATAAAATGAAAGCATTGGATGAAATCACAACTGTCCAGTTTTAATATTCTGTAAATTTTCAAATTTCACAATTTATCAGTGTTTCTCAAGCTGACTTCCTCTGGAAAGAACACTGCTCTCTCCAGAGGATATAAAACAGAAAGGATTTATGGGTCAATGTGATGTACTGTTTGAATTTCTATAGGAGATAAAGGGCCAATACCCCAGCCTTTTTGATCATTGAGTCCTGTTTTGATCCTAAAGTACCTTTTAATAGCTACTAAAACTATTAATCCCTGGAACACACTTTAGAAAACCCTGCTGTATGTCCATTTATATGATCCTTCAAATCAAGAACTAAGCTTTTTCCTTGATAAGTATGTGCATGTATATAATGATGTATGACACTGTGCTCACCCAGGTCTCTTTGTACCTCTCCAATCACATTTTCTCTGGCTCATTTTCCTCCTGTTACCCATTAGTGTTGGTACCTCCCAAAGATCAGCACTTAGAATTGTCTTCTTTCACTAAAGTCTCTTTCTCAGCAATTTCATTCATTTTTAGATCTTCATCTGCCCTCTCTGCAAAAATTCTTCCCAAATATATACACAGCTCTGACCTCTTTCCCAAGTTTCAGTTCAACGTTTGCAGTTTCCTGCAGGACATCTCCACTGGCACTTCACGCTCGTCATCTGTCTCTAAACTTTTTCATATGTTCTCCATTTCAGTTAACGACATCAGTGTTTTCCTACCTCCCCTAGATTTTGGCCTCTACCTTATCTTTGACTCCTCTCACACCACCTCGCTCACTGCTCCAGAGATGGCTGCAAACAGCCCCTTCCTTTCCTCCTGCTGCTGTGGTCTGAAGTCGGACAAGCATACTTTTGGCCTCCTAATATGTGCCTCCATCACCAGCTTCCTTCCTGTACTTTAACCTCTCTGAAGCACTCCTCTGCTCTAAGACTTCTGTTAGGCTCTGCACATTCTGTCAGTAATCTGTTTATTCCCCAGAGTTTGTCTTCACACAGCCTACCTTTCAGCTAAGCTGCTACTAGGCATGATTCCTTGGACTTGCCACACGGCTTCCTGCCTTTTTGCTGGTACTCCTGAGGTGACCTTTGCCTAGAATCTACATCCCTTCCACTCCTTTGTGTTCAAAGCCTACCGTTCTCTACAGCCCACTCATAATCTGTTCCGTGAGCTCTTTTCCTGATCTTACCAACCAGAAGTAATCTCAGCCCTTTAAACATCCATTTTACTGTATCTGATGAACCATCAGCTTCACTCCCCACTGTAGTTATAGGAGTGTTCTGTTGGACTGCAAGCTCTCTAAGGGAATGCTGTGTGTGGATTTGTCCCTTTGTATCCTCCAGTGCTGAGCAGGATGCTTATATGTAGTGAAGTCGAAATAAAAGGCTCTAAAAAGTATAATACAAGGAACTGCATTTCCTAAAAGACCAGCTTACAATTGTGTAGTTTACACAACAGTTATAGGAAAGATGCTGCTACTGTAGAATTTATGGGCTAACGTATCCTTGCACGGAGGTATCTTGATGTTGATTTTAGAACCTTAGAAAAAACTGAATTATAAAATCATGGAATGTTATAACTGGAGAGACCTCGGAGATGTTTAGTTCATTGGTTTTCTGACTGGGTTCCATAGAGCCCTAGGGCTCCAGGGAGATGCCTGGGGGCTTCCTAGGTGATGTTGAGTAAGGAGAAAGGGGGAAAATGACAGAGACCCAGTTCTATCTCCTGCAAGCATTATGAATATTTTAACTGGCCAAAGCATCCCCACTTTTATCTCTTTGAAAATATATATTTGGAGTTCCACTTAACGTATTTTTTTTAAAGGTGTCTTTACAGTCACGCTGCGTAACAACATTTCGGTCAACGACGGACCACATATATATGACCCATAAGATTAGTACCATACAACCCCTAAGTGTGCAGTAGGCTATACCAGCTAGGGTGGTGTAAGTACATTCTGCAACATTTGCACAACAATGAAGTCGCCTAACGACGCCTTCCTCAGAACATATTCCCGTGCATGGTAAAGCGATGTATGACTGCACTCAGAAATTTCTGTTTGAAAAGAACTATTCCAGTTTAATGTTCTCGTTTCACGTATGAGGAAAATGCAGTCAAGAAGCATTACTTACCAGGTCCAGAGTCACACAGTGAGTGTAGTGGCAAAGCCAGGGTCTGCTTCCGCGCCTGTCCTGGCTCCCCGTGGCAGCACCCTGCTGCCTCACTTCTCTGGAGCCGCACACTCTTAGAAAGTCTTTGCCAGGCGGGGATCATGTCTGAAGGTTTCTGTGCCAGCCTTTGACACAGTGAAAATTAAGAGTGTTTTATATTAAAGTTTCAGTCTCATTAAATGCTCCTAGAATTACTAATGTTTTTCCCCCCAGGCATTTAAAAATTCATCTATTCCACAAATAGTCTTTAAGCAGCTACTTCTGCGCCTGGCCCAGTACTGTGCCCCACATACAAATATGAAAAAGATGTAGGTTCTGTGCCTAATGAGAACACAGATGGGAGTATATGGGAGGGAGTGGATTGTACAACGACGAAAACATAAAAATTGTAGTGCAGAATGCGATTAGCCAAACATCCTTGTGGAATGTCTCAGCTCCCTCATGCAGGACGATTACCGTTTTTTCCCCAGTTCCCTTGCTCAGTTGTTCGTTATTCATAAAGCGTCTGTTTGTTGAACTACTTTGTACTGGGCAGAATGCTGGAAGTTTGGAGAGAACAAATGTGTAT